TGGCCCTATAGTTATGAGTGCTAAAACACGCCAACGACCTGCTACGGCTAATAGCCAGACGCTAAATGAATGTGTACAGGTGGTGGTAAGATGTCGACCCATGAGCAATAAAGAACGTTCCGAGGGCTATGATGAAGTCATTGGTGTTTATCCAAATCGTGGTGTTATAGAGATTTCCAACTACTCGGATTCGCAAAAGGAACAACGTAAAGTCTTTACCTATGATGCGGTCTACGATGCTGGCTCATCTCAGACTACGGTCTACAACGAGATTGTTTTCCCTCTGGTCAGCTCGGTTTTGGAGGGTTACAATGGTTGCATTTTTGCCTACGGTCAAACGGGTACGGGCAAAACATTTACCATGGAGGGCATACGCGGCAATGATGAACTGGTGGGTATTATACCGCGTACCTTCGAACAAATCTGGCTGCACATCAATCGTACCGAGAACTTTCAATTTTTGGTTGATGTTTCTTATTTGGAAATTTATATGGAAGAATTGAGAGATCTTTTAAAACCAAATTCAAAACATTTGGAGGTGCGCGAAAGCTCATCGGGTGTTTATGTACCAAATCTACATTCCATTACGTGCAAGAGTGTCGACGATATGATGAATGTCATGAAGGTGGGAAATAAAAATCGTACAATTGGTTTCACCAACATGAATGAGCACAGTTCAAGGTGAGACATAGTTTAGGGTTGAGTTTTTAAGAAACTTTATTTAAGTCCTCTTGATCTTTTCTTCTTTTACAGATCTCATGCCATATTTATGATAAAAATCGAAATGTGTGACATTGAGACAAATACCATTAAAGTGGGAAAATTAAATCTCATCGATTTGGCCGGCAGTGAACGTCAAAGTAAAACGGGTGCTTCAGCTGAACGTCTTAAGGAGGCTAGCAAAATTAATTTGGCTCTCTCCTCTTTGGGTAATGTTATTTCAGCCTTAGCCGAAAGTTCACCACATGTACCCTATCGCGATTCGAAGCTAACACGTCTCTTACAAGATTCTTTGGGTGGTAATTCGAAAACCATAATGATTGCTAATATAGGTCCATCGGCCTATAATTACAATGAAACTTTAACGACCTTGCGTTATGCATCCCGAGCTAAAGCCATACAAAATCAACCTATTAAGAATGAAGATCCTCAGGATGCTAAACTTAAGGAATATCAGGAAGAAATTGAACGTCTTAAACGTTTAATCGGTTCCAAACAACAGCAACAGCAACAGCATGTTAAAGTCGAGAAGCCACCCAAGAAGATTGTTAAGAAACCCAAAAGTGAAAAGAAAGAAAAATTGCAACTTAAGGAAATGGATGAGAGTTTAGCACAAACCAACTCGGAAATAAATGATGTGGATGAAGAGAAAGATGAACCGGAATCGGATAAAGAAAATGAGGTTGAAGAGGAAGTGGCCAAGACCAATGAACAGTTAGAATGTGAGCGTTTGGAAACTGCCAAACTGGCAGCAAAACTATCCGAACTTGAGTCCCAGCTGGTAAGGGGAGGTAAAAATTTACTCGATACCTATAGCGAACGACAAATTGAATTGGAAAAGAAATTGGTGGAGATTGCAGAGCGCAAAAAACGTGAAATTGAAATGCAACAAAAATTGGAATTACAGGAGGAAACTACTTTGGAAATAAAAGAAACCGTTACGTCCCTGGAACAGGAAGTGGAATTGAAGAAACGCAAACTCTCTAAATGTTATGCCAAATATTTGGCACTACAGCAAGAGCTGAACGACTGTAAATTCGAGCATAATCAGGATCTAAGAGAATTGGAAATGGCACAAAATGAATTGGTCAAGGAACTGAAAAGGCAGCTATTAATTATCGACAACTTTGTACCGGTGGAGGTGAAACAACGTCTCTACACACAAGCCAAATACGATGAAGAGCAGGAGGAATGGAAATTCTCGGCATTACCCATTTACAACGATGGCAGCTATAATAATAAACGTCCCGTTTCACATCCCCAACGACGCAGACCCATTTCAGAATATGCCTTGTTAGAAGCTAAAAACAATACCTCAGATTCCGCTTTACGTTTCAAAAGCGAAAACATTGTCAACTATGAACTGGAAATGCCCTGTCGCACTACCCAAGAATACAAAACACCCAAAGTGTCAGCTTCTCTGCAGGCCGTTTTGGCTCAGGCCATGCAACCCGGTGATGATATCGATATAGTAGATAATCATACCAATTCCATACGCAGTCGCTTGGAAAGCATTATAAATGCCAGTGCTAATGCAGCTGCGGCCGCTTCAGCAGCAAATATGAATGGTCATGGTCCGAATGCCAACACAAACGGTGGCGGCGTACCTATTTCCAATGGGGTGCGTAGTATTAAGTCTAGTCGTGCTACGGGTATACCTCCAGCTTCAGCTATCGATTCGAATAGACGTCCACCCACTGGACGTACTCAAACAAAAAAACCAGGCTCGGCTTATCCCAAAGCCAGAGGTCTAGTCACTAAATGAATTTAAGTTTAAAATGTTCTCTTCTACTCTAAACATGTATATCTCAAATATTACGTATTTTTTAATGCATTTTTTTCTGTTTTTTACGTTTTTTTTAACACATTCATAAGTCTTTCTTTAAGACTATTAGTGCAATACATTTTGTTTTTCTAAAGTTTTTTTGTTTTGCTTATTTTAGCTTAATTTATAGTTTTTTACGCAACTGTATTTTATTTTTAATAAAACTGCATTTCTTTTTATTTATAGAAATTTAATTTTATATATTTTTGCTACATTTGACAGTAAGAAGTTTTAGAACAAAATTTCAGTTGAACGATTAGCGTTTCTGTTTAAAATAATCCTCGAACGTAGTTTATGAGTACGTTAGCTTATTAAACTGGCAGTTTAAATAATGAAGTTTAAATCATTTATTACTTCCGCTTCCATTTCTCTGGATTTCAAGTGGATATGGAATAAGAAAAAACGAATAAATTGAAACCAATTAATTAGACCCAAATAACGGAATGATTTTAAATACGTAGTACTATTCCGGAAAATTTTGCTATAGTTTCTTAAGATTCCGTTTCATGTTTGTTTTCGTCTTTGATTTTTCGAAGCAAATTATGAAATTAATTCTAATTGAGTCAAGGCAAGAAGAATAATTAATTTTGCTCCAAAATCTTTATTAATATTTTAGTTTTTTGTCACTTTGCTTTTTTTAATTAATTTATTTATTATTTATTGTAGCACAAAATAAAAACAAAAAATACAAGAAAGCCCAAAAAAAGCTGTTTTATTTCAAATTGTAAGGATGCACCAAAGTGAATATTCTTGGGGAATAAAAGTTTTAGAATCTTCATGCAAACATGGACTAATAAACTATTTATGAAAGGAAAATCAACCTGTTTAAGGACATCTAATTGGGTTACTGCTCCAAAGACAAAATTGGTATCTTACAGCTTAAACATAAAAGAAATATTTCAAATAAATAAAAAATCTTTTATTATGGAATCATAGTTAAAACTTAAACTTAAAAACAATGTAAATATTTTAATATTTAATGATCTTTTCTTTTCTGTATTTCGGCAGCCCTCCTGCCATCTTCTACTCCATTAACTTTAAATAAATTCCACTAATTTCTCGAAATTATTAATACCCGTCTTTTCCACCAAATCTAATAATGCCTGTAACTTATTATCAAACAGCTCACAGCGTATTGGCATTTCCAAAGAATAAAAAGGATTTTTTAAAGCATAATCTGAATAAAGTTCATAGATTTTGCGCAACACAATGTCCATGCCATTCAAGCCCGTCTCGCTGATAACAATAAACTTGACACCCGTCAAGGTTTGAAAACAATGCAACGTAAATGTATCCGCCTCCAATACTTCAATACCCGAAGATTTAGGTTCCGGACTCAATTGACTGGCAATGGCGAATAGAGGATAAAACATACTGGCCAAAAAGATTTTCTCATTTGTAGTCATTTTAGGACGGCTAAATTTTAAATTTATGGGATAATTTTCAGAAGATTCTAATACTGTTTTAACATCACGCCCATCTTCCAAAGTAGCACCATTTACGGGGCCGCCATTAACAGCCACCAAGACATGTCCCACTAAAGTATAAAATACCATTAGTTAAGCTTTATTATTTCCAATTTATAATTAATTAGTTTAATTACCATTAATACCATCTTTGCGATTGAAAGCCACTGTCACTTTTTTTGGATTGTAATCCAACATTAAATCCAAAGGGTAAGTAAAGGTTTTTTCATGTTCTATACGTGGCACATTATTGTCCAGGTTGAATATAAGACCACCCGATTTACTAACTATATATACACCGTATATAATCATTGTAGTTTTATTAATATTATTAATTTATTGTTGAATTATGTTGTAAAGGAGTATTGTAGTAAAAAATACAACAACAAATATTCGATTTTTTGCACAGCTGGCTTTTGTTTATTCTTTTTATTGTGGTTGCCATATTTTAGTTGTCAAAGTCATACACAAAGTTGCCAGTCATACATATTTATGGCAACTCCAACCAAAAGGGCAAACAATAACAAATAAGGATATATCGTTGTTTATTTTTAATTATCCTTAATTATCACTACATAAATCAATGATAATTTAAGACTTTAATAATGTGGGACACGAAATGTTATTAGAAATAACAAAAAATTATTAACTTTGAATACACGAAAAACTATTATTAATACATTATAAGGAAAGTGTGGCAATTTTATTTGTTGATATTTTTTGTACAGCTGACTTTGACAACGGATTCATAGCAGAGTTCTAGACCTAACAAAATTATTAACGACGGTAATTTTACAAAACATTTCACAGGTGGATAAAAAGCAAATTATAGAAAAAATTTGGAAAAATAAATATTTCTATTGATAATAACGATTATTTAGAAAATAATCAAGAAAAGAGTGACAACAACAGCATATATTTTCAAGCTGACTGCTATTTGACGGTTTTGAATTACAATATTAAGTGGCGGCTAGATACAGCCGTCTATCTGCCAAACGGCGCTGGTGTCTTGCCTAGTGTATTTTTATATCCAGCTGCATTAGCAACCACAGCAAAACACAAGAAGCAAAAAAGAAAACCAATATTTTTAACAATAAATTCTGTTAAAAGAAACTAATAAAATATTTATTCAAAATTACGGAGAAACTGGAAAAAATGGGCTCTGATGATGCTAGCACAGTTTCTAGCGATAGTGGCGAACGGGGTGAACGCATACAGAGAGGTTTCCAGATAAACTACATGATTTTACGAGATGCTGATACAGGTAAGGTCATCTGGCAAGAAAATAAAGATTTTTCCTCACCCGATGCCGAACATGAGGCCCGTGTACCCGTCAAAATATTGGATTTAAGAGCCGTTTCGCGAGAAATCAATTTCAGCACCATAGAGGCCATGGAAAACTTTCGTCTCGATCAGAAGGTTTTATTTAAGGGTCGCATAATGGAGGAATGGTTCTTTGAAATGGGCTGGGTAGGAGCGAATACCACCAACACCTGGCAGTCGACCATTGAGGCAGCACCTGAATCACAAATGATGCCTGCTAAAGTCTTAAATGGTAATGTTACCATTCAAACCAGTTTCTATGACAACGATACACTCATCACTAAATCCGTGGTACGACTTTATTATATTTAAGTTATAATTACAAAATTATAGAGATACACGGAGGAGAGAAATGCAGGCATTAGGTTAAGAAGCTGAAACATATTCGTTTAACTACAGTAATAAGACAAAATCAAAAAAAATTATAAAAAACGACCTCAAAAATTGAACGCCCACACATTTTACACACAACACCAAATTCCAAAAACAACGAATTTTGTGTTGCTGTTGTCATCATAAATAAATCATCAATGTAGACAGAGCTTTTAAGGTATTAAATCAATTGTGAAGTAAGGAATAGAAAGTATATTTTAAGCTGAGTTTAAGTTAGTTTATAGTAACGACAAACTATAAAGAGTTCTCCAACTAGTTCTAGAACTATTCTAGTTTGAGAACAAGAATTCAAAATTATCGTCTTGTGTAAAATTTTCCAGAATCGTGGCTGTTATAAAAAACAGTTTCAAACTGACTATTTAAGATATTAAATGTGATAGCCACTTTGGCACTTCATTCTTTATGTTCTGTCTGAATTAATACTTTTAAAGCTCTGCTTTTAACCAAACTATAAACATTTGATCTCGTACAAAATCATAAACACAGATATGTTTTCAATATCAAACAATTTATACTGTTTTAGTAGAGTCGTTAAAGCTTTTATATATGTACTGAGTTTTGTTAATAAATTTGTTTATATTTCTTAAAATATGAGATCTTTCAAGCATTTCTTTGTTCAATTAACAATTATTTTCTAAACTTAATCTAATCTTTTTATAAAAATCAATATATTGCATTTTCTCAACACTCAAAGATGTCTAAGGCCATACAACTATATACATATTTATAATATTTTAACTACTTTCAGAGATTTGCTTTAATAAATGTTTCCTTATTTTGTTGAAAATTTCTAGACTTTATTTTAAATAGAATTATATTGACAATTTTATTTAAATTCTATTTATTTCTTAAAAATCTATAATGCATGGAAACAGTTTTTGTTATTAACGCCAACTTTTTCGTTTTTATTATTTTCTATAATAAGCCATTAATAATAAACTAGTTATAAAAAATAAATTAATATTAAACATAATTATTTATTAATATATGAATATTTGTTTCCTTATGTAAACTAATAAAATATGTAAAATGATTCTCAAAATAATAATGAAGAAATTATGTTAACCCGAAATAAAAAACAAAGTGTTTTATATAATTTGGAATAGGAAATTTGGAAATTAATGTATAATTCAAATAATCTATATTCCATCATTAAGATGTCTGAATAGGTATTGGGAAGACCCTCTAGATAGCGAAATTCGAGAATTTTGCTATGTAAATGAGTCGATTATGTATCTCGGTTGCCACTTCAGTTGTGTTGCCAAAATTATGTGGTTACTGGACGGTAAGCATTAACTTGGAAATTTTAAAAATAATGTGTAATGTGTTAATTCGTTAGTTACTTTGGTTCTTTGGTGGTTAGTTTAACAGAAGGATGTAACATCCCAATCCAAAGAAATAATTCAGGGCCATTGTATGCTGTTTTACCTGTGTTTTTGTTTTGAGTCCAAGCTATGGTCCCAAATTAATTAAAACCACCTATAACCTATTATAACATTTATTTCATTCTTCTAAAAATTTTAAATTAATAAGACTATCCCCCATTATCTCAATGTCTGGTTATATTTTATCGTAAGGTTAAATTGACAGTTTTCATACAAAAATTATTTTAACCGGCAGAATATCTACCGGTTAAATGATAACCGGAGTTGATGTTAACGGGGGTATGTATTTTTATTTGTAACGTTAAATTTCCCCTAAATTTCTTTTAACTAACAAACATATCCCCCTGTTAAAACAGAAAGTATCAACACTGTCACAAGAAAAATATTTCATTGGCAACTCTTTCTATTTTCATTCAATACAAGGAAAATTCATAAAAGATGAATTCAGGATTTTTTATAAACATGAAGTTTGACAGTAATAGTTAAGAGAAATTTGTTTTTTATACCTGGCATTTGACAGTTTCTGTAGTAATTTTCATATACAAAGAACAGCAATCAGCTGTTACAGTAAAGCCATCTCTAATGAATTCGCCTTAATTTAGTGTTTCGCACTTGTAAACAAAACAAATTAGTATGAATTTTTCATAATAATAAACAAAAATAAATAATAACAATAACAAAACTGTGTAATTAGTGTAAACAAGTGGTAAATATTACAATGCATTACATTAAACTAGAAGAAATTAAAAATATTTTCAAAAAATAGCAAAAATCTTAAAAAATAAATTGACGACGTACATATAAGAAAAAAAAAAAGAAAAAGTTACCAATGAGAAAAAGCTGGTACGCAAAAAAAATTAATTAGTTGTAAGCAGAATTAGTGGAAAATTAAAGAATATTTCAAGTTCTATTTAAATTTATTGAAAAAGTAATTTTGTAATGATATGTACATATGTACGTATTTGACTTTGTTAAATATTCTTCCTTTTGCTCAGTCTTTTTTTATTGTAACTCGATTTGTGAGTTCAATAAATTCGATTTTTTCGTCGAGTTGTTGTTATTGCAGTAGTCACTAACAGTGATGGTGAATTATTTACAAACATTGATAATATATTTTAAGAATACAAGTTTGTTTTTTATAACCTACACCAAAAACGTTTTGTACAGTTGTTTGTAACCTATAGAAATATTAATCATACGCCTGTGAGTTCACTGAAATCATGGTCGCAATTTTAAAGATATTTTTGTTACTACCCATTGGGGAACATATTATGCGTTTACACTAATGTTTGTAACATCTAAAATGATCAGGACTCATTTGACCCCCCTTCAAAAAATGACTTGCCAGTTCAACGGTGAAAAAACTTTTGGCATAAATCTAGCATTCTAACCCAGCTGTTTTGAAAACATTTGTTTAAACCACATGATGATACTTTTTCTTGTGACTTCAAGAAAGGAAAAAAATTATAAAATTAATTATATTGGTATATAATTGGATATATCTCGATTACTGATTAACCGATATGCTCAATGGGTAGTAATGTCGCTGTTTACTTAAATATGATTAAAATTAATATTTTCAAAATGTGTTAATTCGTGTATTATAGCATTCAAACACATATCATGGCAAAGCCCCAACTGTTATCTATAAAATTTCATGTGAGATGAGGTACCGCTATATCGACATGCATTTGAGACAACGGTACTTTAGTAAAAAAGTCAAAATATAAAAACATAAAATTTGACCCTGGCTTTCAATGGGTTAATGTATATCATGCCATGTTTAGTGTTTATAAACCGGTTAACCGAAAAAGCGGTTTTTATTGCATATTTTGGTTTTTCGCAAACCGGTTTTTTAAAACATTGGTTTTCGGTTAACCGGGTTATCAGGTTTTTAAGTCTCGGTTAAACGGTTTAAAAAAGTTTTAATCTTTAGTACTAAATTGTATATTTTAAACCAATAAAAAATTAAATATTTATACTTGATAGTCCTGGACATACCATTTTTATTCCCTATTGATGCTTGTAACACAAAAAAATATTGATCCTACACCCACCTTAAAGTATACCGGCTAATCTAATCGGCTCAGAATAACTTCCTGAGTCGATTATGATATATCCGTCCGTCTGTCTGTCTTTGTGTCCATGTAAACCTTGTGCGCACGCTACATCTCGCAATTCTTAGGACAATTTGATGAAATTTGGCTCGTACGCATTACTGAAAATGGTTGAAATCGGTCCATTATTTCACCTAGCCCCCATATAACCCAACAACCCGAATAGGGCTTTTGAGCTCATAATTATATTAAATGTTCTAGTATTTCAACAAAAATTGGCTAAACTTAGTTTTACATAAGTCTACATGGTACTGCCGATTTTCGCAATGATCGGGCCTCATTTGACCCTAGCTCCATAGAAAGTCTTTTTCATAAAATGAAATGTTCACAATTCACTTATAAACACTAATTTCAGAATGAAATTCGGTACAAATGACTTTTATGTAAACATAAATTCTGATTCGATGTCCGTCTTTGTGGCCATATAAACCTTGTGTACACGCTACAGCTCGCAATTTCAAGATAATTTAGCACATATTCTTCTCTGGATCCAATGAGGAATGATGTTGAAAATTATTGAAATCGGTCCATTATTTCACCTAGCCAGCATACAACCGTACAAACAAACCCAAAACATCCTCCCACAAAGGGCTTTGGAGCTCATAATTATGTTAAATGTTTCAGTATCTCTACAATAATCGGCACAATTCAGTTTTATATAAGTCTAAATAATACTGCCGATTTTTGTAATTATCGAGCAGTATTGTCAAAAAGTGGCACAACTATGTTAATGTCCTTGTTGAATTTTATAATATTCGGTCCTTGTTTTCTCTCATATGGCTTCTTTCAGTAAATCAGTTTTTCTTCAATAAATTTGGAACCAAGAGAAATTCAACATAAATTTTTTATTATTGAAAATGAATCACATATAATATTCGTTTTATTAGTGTAGGGTATCATATGGTCGGTGACGCCCGACTATAGTTTCTTACTTGTTTATTGATATAGATGCATTATATATTCAAAGGTCAAATTATCCCTCCTATGACAACATCCATATACCTAACGAATCAATAATATCTTCAGATCTGTAAGATTTTCTTTTCTTATGATTTATTAAGACGTACATAATAAGTAATTCATAATATTTTGCAAAATGACATTTTTCAACCAAATATAATAAAATTTAAAGATTTCCAAACAATTCGGTTAACCGGTTTTTTTATACTCGGTTAACCGACAAACCGGTTTTCTAGAAATTGTAAATTTTCCGTTAACCGAAAAACCGGATTTTCCAAAAGTCGGTTTTTTATAAACACTAGTCATGTTATACATCAATGGAAAGGTCGTTCAAATACATTCTCCAATTCTATCCATATCGACCATATTGCTTTATTAGTAATGTCGATGTTTACTTAAATCTGCCAAAAGTTTATATATAAAAAACTAACATAACATTTGCATTTCATGGTTCAAATATATATCATAGGAAATCCCCAAATGTTTTCTTCAATATTTCATGTGAGATGACGTACTCTTAGATAGATATATTTTTGAGATAATGGTACTTTTGTAAAAAAAGTCAAGAGAAAAAAAAACAAAAATAGATCCTGGCTCTCAAAGGGTTAATGATAAAGTATGTCATGATACACATCAATGGAAAGCTTAAAGACCTTTTCAATGATACCCATATCTACAATATCAGTTAATTATAAATCGAGATATATCTATTTATATATCAAAACTTTCAAGACCCATAACTCCCGGACCCTAAGAGAGTAGATAATTTTTTCCCATATCTGTGGTCTGAAGAAAACAGATTATCAGGTAGTAAAAAAGTCTCTAAAATTTGCTGAATTAGAGTTCCCATATATTAGGGTTCTATAGTTGAAACGAAAAGTCGACTTTTCGACTTTTTGCATTTAGTTAAAAGTCGACTTTTCGACCTTTCGACTTTTTCCATTTTATGAAAAGTCGATTTTTCGACTTTTCGACCTTTTCCATTTATTTAAAAGTCGGCTTTTAGACTTTTCGACTTTTAGTATTTTATAAATGGTCGACTTTTCGACTTTTTCCGACTTTTCGACTTTTTCCGACTTTTTGATTTTTTACGACTTTTTGACTATTTTCGATTTATTTCGACTTTT